ACATATATATATTTATAAAACTAGTTAAGCTAAAGATTCAAATACTCACGTTATTTTAAAAAAAAAAAAAATACGACAGCTATCAATGTACTATGAACAGAGACCAGAGTTAATGTTAGTAAAATAAAAAAAAAAAAAAAAAAAAAGTAAAAAAAAAAAAAACCCTAAATTTGTTTTAATTTGAAGCCAAGGAGGGTTATGATTTTTTGCTGTTATAGGCCCATATTTCGATCTAGATCTTGACACTGAAGTCAACTATAGTGTATCTTTAACAGTCCATAGTACTAAATTCTCCCATGTTCTCGGTTTGAATAATTACCTAGCTAGCCAGAATTTCGATGACTTTTAATTGACTTCCTTAGGATGATGTTAGAAAATAAGCGACATGATCATGATTATATTGTAGCTCATATTCTTGCATAGCAATCATTTTTAGTGGGTCTGCTAGAACTAGATCACTCAAAGTTTACTTCTTCCTTATAGTCAAAAGCAAACAAATCCACAATAAGGATTGCAAATTCGCAAGAAATTATCTCCTAGATAACTATTTTTTTTTTTAAATTGAACTTTACTCAACAAAAAACTGTATTATATAGATGAAACAAAAATAGAAAATACGAGTATTTCATATGCAGCATGCAAGAATATTGGTCAGAGATTTTAGCTGCCTCTTCGAATATGAATAGTCTATATATATATAGTTGGAGTACTGATGGTGAAGTGATTCAGAATGAAGCATGAAAGGAAGCAAAAAGAAACAGTGGAAAATGCAAGCTGAAATAGTAGTAACTTTTAGCCGTGCCTGTTAGCTAGGATCACATTAATCAATGAATCAATCATGGCACAGTAAACGTAGAAAGATAAAAAAAAGTCTACAACTCGAAAGCCAAGATATAACGCTGAAAAAATATAAAATTTGCACATACTTTAAAGATATGATTTTTGGTAGACGGATGATGGCTTTACGAATCTCTCTGCTTACATCAAGATTTCTAAAATTTTTAACATAATTAAGATTCTAAGTTTTTACCAATTCAAATACATTTTAAGGAAAATATAAAGAGTTATATACGCACACATACCAAAATATCCCTTCCTAATTTTTGGTAGCTACTTTTATTTTCTCTTCTCTAGCTCCCTACTTTATAAGAGAAGAGAAAGGTAGGGGTGATTAAACAAGACCAATTTTTTACCATATAGCATTTTTTATTTTATTTAAAGGCGGTTGGAGAGAATAAGAAAAGGAGAGAGATTTTCTTTTCTTTTCTTTTTTTCTTTTTTTTTTTTTTCCTGGGATTGGGAACGGGGAAAAAGACAGAAAGTTCAACGTCAGGGATTAGCCGCAAGGGTTGTGGTTTTGGGGTTCTTGACTGCTTCAGGTTCACAAAGAAATCCCTTCTCACCACATCTCTCTCTCTTGCTCTTTCTCTCTCTCTCTCTCTCTCACAGTTTCTTCAAACTTTGTTCTTTTATTATCCCTTTTTTATTTGTTCATATTTGTGTGCTTATTGTTGGATTTTCTTAGAGTTAGCATGTAGGTTTATATTTGAATCTTTCAGTTCTAGTTATTACTCTTTCTTGTTTTCTTTTGAGTTTCTAAAAAAACAAAAAAAATTGTCACTTGGGTTGATGCCAAACAAGGAAGAAACCATCGAATTTAGTTCTTTTCTTGTTAATCTTCCTTAAGTTTAATCAGCTTTTTCTAGGAATATTTGGATCTATTGTGTTTTTTTGGATCTATGAGATCTCTGATGCAATCTTAGGGACTACTCTTTAATTGCTTGTTCTAACAAAATATGATGAAAGATTTGTTGTTTCATCAACATCAGCAGCAGCAGCAGCAACAAGTTTTGGAGGAGAACATGTCTAACTTGACTTCTGCATCAGGTGAAGCCAGTGTTTCCTCAGGCCAATACTTTGCTCCACCACCACAACAATCTCAACCTCAGCCACCTTTGGCCAAGAAGAAAAGAAACCTCCCTGGAAACCCAGGTGAATATAATTCCTCTTCCCACCGATTGTTCTGTTTTTCAAATATATTCCTACTTAATTTCATGTGTTTGATTTTTTGGGAGTTTGAATCAGACCCAGATGCAGAAGTGATATCTTTGTCTCCTAAAACACTTTTAGCAACAAACAGATTCGTGTGTGAGATCTGCAAAAAAGGGTTTCAAAGAGACCAGAATCTGCAGCTTCACAGAAGGGGGCATAATTTGCCATGGAAGCTGAAGCAGAGAACAAACAAAGAGGTCATAAGGAAGAAGGTGTATGTGTGTCCAGAACCAAGCTGTGTGCACCATGACCCATCAAGGGCTCTTGGTGACTTGACTGGAATCAAGAAACACTTTTGCAGAAAACATGGTGAGAAGAAGTGGAAATGTGAGAAGTGCTCAAAGAAGTATGCAGTTCAATCAGATTGGAAAGCTCACTCCAAGACCTGCGGTACTAGGGAATATAGATGTGACTGTGGCACCCTCTTCTCAAGGTAACTAACCTCAAATCACTTTTGAAATTAATGTATATATTCATACTCAAACCCGGCCATGTTCCCATTTAAGAACAAGTACAGTCAAATCTTCATAATAAATTAATTTTGCACTCCAATAAATCATACCCATGAGAGATGGTTGGTGTCAACAGTGGGGAATTTTTTTTTTTTTTGGGGGGGGGGGGGGGGGTTGTTGGGACAGTCTGTCCTTGATTCATAGTGTGAAAAAAGATGCAGAAAGAGAGAGGAAGTCAAATATTTCTTACATTGTCATGGAACTTTATGACATTGGTTTTTTGTTTTCTTCTGTCTGTTACTTTTTGGGATTTTCAGGAGGGATAGTTTCATAACCCACAGAGCATTCTGTGATGCTTTAGCGGAGGAGAGTGCAAGAGGTAACCCACTCCTCTCTACCCAACCTGGCTCATCCTCGTCAACTCAATTCAATCCGCAAGCATTTTCAGTTCTCAAGAAAGAGCAACAGAGTAGTTTCAATCTCCTAGGGCCAGAAATACCACCGTGGCTTGCTCCCCAGCCAATCCTAGGAGCTGGTCCTGGCCCACCACCCCCACCCCCACCACTTGATCATCTCTCATCTTCATCATCGGCCTCGATCTTCTCCACCACAAGATTAGATCATCAATTCAACCATCACGATTTATCAAACCCTAACCCTAGTCTTGGTGGTCCTACACTGCCTCCCTACCATCCAACTGTACCCTCCCACCCTCACATGTCAGCCACTGCATTGCTGCAGAAAGCAGCCCAGATGGGTGCAACCATGAGCAGCAACACTGGCTCAACCTCAGCACTCAGACCCCACCAACAGCCTTACGTGTCTGTTGAATCTGCTGGGAGAAACAACAGTACTACTCCAGCTGGTTATGGCCTCAACTTCACCTCACGTGAAGTCGGTGGCTCCTCCTTCATCCATGGCTTAAACCCCGGTGGTGCCACCAATGCTGTTGGTTCTAATTCTCTAATTCTCCAAGAAATGGTGAAGTCTTTATCTTCTGGCGGTACAGTGCTTGACAGGACTTCGATCCATGATGAGTTTGGTGGGGTTTTTATGACTTCGAAGAAATTAGATGGGAGTTTCGGAGAAACACTCTCGAAAGCAACAGCCACCAATGGCAGTAGGAATTTTAAAACCGGCGACAGTGGCAGTGGCAGTGGCAGTGGCGGCCGCAGTGGTGGTGGAGAGCATTTGACGAGAGACTTCTTAGGTCTAAGAGCGTTCTCTCACGGGGATATACTTAATATTGCTGGTCTTGATAACTGCATGAACACTTCCCATGAGCAGCACAATCAGAAACCATGGCAAGGTTAGGTGATAGATATATATATATTAAATTAAATTCTATATTTCCCACTTTTTTTTTCTTGTTTTCTTAATTTTCTATAATCTTTCCAAAGGGAAAGGACCTGTGAAAAATTGATACTGATTATATAATTCAGTCCCTTATGGAACTACTTTTACAAATCTTGATCTTTTCGAAAATTTTATATTTCTTGATCATGTATGGTTCCATGCATATATAATAAGAAAGTGTTGAAGGCGAAACCTTAGATTCTTTCTTAATCTGATCCATCATAAACAAAAAACTACTAACATAGTTGGCATTGTGGATGCAATTCCCAAGGAGAGTGACATCCCACTGAAAGCAACTAATTAATTTATGAGGGATTTCTAATATTGGGTTTAGGTATGATCTCATGACTATAGTATATGGAGTTATTAATTAGGTTTTTTTTTTTTTTTTCCTAATGATAGGTGTCAAATATTTTACTCTTGCTGTTTTGAAATATAAGTCGTTTAACTTTTAAATATGTAATTTTAAGTAGGATAATTATACATACACCCAAACAATCAACACTCATTTCAACACCCAAGGTTTATGAACAGTAAAATTATAAATTTACCCCTCCTCATTTTAGCTTTGGGTGTTGAGATGGGTGTTGATTGTTTGGGTGTATGTATAATTATCCTTTTAAATAATACCTTTTGATAATATATGAATAATAGTAGAGATTTTCTTCTTTTCTACATATAGTTTTTGTTGAATAGTTTTATTTGATAAAAAAAAATTAATTTTATCATTCACATACAATAAAAAGTTATAACCTAAATATACATAAAAAAATCAAATACTTTATATTTTAAAACAAATGTAATATAAAATAATATAATATTTTATAATTATCTCTTTTTATTTGCAAACTGTTATTCATATAGTACATACATTGACTTGTTAATATACATATACATGTGTCTCCTATCAAAACATAAATCATTAGATATGGGACCACCTTTAATATTTAGTAAGTCCATCCCATCTAATGATTTAAATTATACAATTCAAAGTATACAATTAATATATTTCTTATAATAGATGGGCTAAATATATATAATTCTACTAAAATTTTTTGAGACATCAACTTAAAGTTTTTATGTATTCACATATCCTATTAGATTGATCTTAGGGAAATTGCATGCATTTCAATATATCTCCATTAAATAATCTTTGACATAAGTTGAGAGAATTAAATTGTTCTAGTGCATTTCGTTTAGAAAGTTTTTTTTTGATATTTAGAATTGGGAACTGTACATCTAGATACGATCGAAACGGAGAACGAGTTTGAGTGCTATTTGACTAAAAAAATTAATAAATGAATTTCAACCATCGTTCATCAATCTCTAGGAAATTAAGAAAATTTATTTATTTTTCCTTTCTACATCAGGAAAAGGGCTGGCTGATTAAACTTTGTCCATATGGTTCTCCTATTTTTAGAATAATTTACTCCCTTTCATATATATTTTTTTATTGGTTATTCTAATCAATTTGGCTTTTTATATGTAGTTTGATGATAAAAATTTCTTTTTATATTATACGGGTTAAGTAGTTTTACTAAATCTTTTTTTATTTTAATTTTCATTGTTTTACAACGTGTGAAAACATCAAGTAAAATTACACAAAAATGAGAGACTAGAAAAGCTAAATATAAAAGACCTAAAAAAATGGAGATCACTTGAAAAACCAAGCCTAGAGTCAGCTCTACTGGAACCTTCACTCCCTCCATATTTTTCATCTTTAAACAGCTGGCTCTAATGTTTATGAGTTGGCACCACAGGAACTTTTACTTTTCTCTCCAAAATCGCTCCTTCATTTTTTAGAATTCATATCTTTTTTTCATTTAAATTTTCTTTTGTATATTCTTATACTCGATGGAAAAACTTTAGATCCCTACTTTTAAATGCTTCAGTCCTTAAAGCAAAAATCTCTCAGTAAGTTGATATATCCATTAAAGAATGAGCAAACGTCCCTTTTACAACACATGCAAAAACTTGATCTTTAAGGAGCTTCATTTCCAAAATATTTTCTTATATTCTTATACACTTATATATACAAAATTCCTTATATTTTTATAAGAGTTTTATTATTATTAAAATCATCTTAGAAGTTCAACAGCAATTCATCAACTAAACAAAAATCATGAACATGAGAGGGTAGGGGGATTAGAAAGAGACAAAGGAGAGATTGAGAAAATAGCGCGTGAGGAAATTATTGGTGAAAATTTTTAATTTCATTTTGAAATTTCAAAATAAAATTATTTAAAAAAAAAGAAAAAGAAAAAGATGTGGTTTATGCCCACCTTTGGTACCATATTTTCGTCTCATAAATAATTGCCCTTAGATTTTTTACAATCAAAGATGACAAGTTGGAATCGTCTTATTATGTAAAGGCAACTTTCTATTACAGGTAAAATCATGATGCTTCCCTGCATACACAACATAAATAATAAAAAAAAAGAGAAAGTCATGATGCCCCCAAAAGACCCTCATCGATTCATCGTGGGGGTCCGAATTTTCGTGGGTCATACAAATAATGATCGTAATGCTGTAATAATAACTCGGAATCATTTTTTACAGGTTAGTTTATTTATCCTCATCACGTGTCTCAATTTGACAATCAATTTCGATTGTCGAAAAAAATATTTGTTTAGTCCATAATCATTGATATGATTGACCAAATTAATTGACGGTAATTGGTTTCCTAGAGTTAAAGACCGAGTCAGTTATAGTTATGGAGTAGTAACTAAAATAAAAATTATTTTACCGTTTAGAACTAGTGAACTTCATTAAATTATATAGTTTTAAATATGGATAAATTTTTTAATATTAAATTTAAAAAATATATTTATTTATTTTATATTTTAACATAATTTAAATTATAAAATAATAAACTTTAACAACTCTAAGGTTAATATACAAAACGATGTCAAAAAAAGCATACATGAAAAGTTATTTAAAGGAAAATTATAAAGTGACGGACGGTCTTTAAGACTGATTGGACGTAGCAGACTAGCAGCCGCAGCTCCATATCCGTTCATTCCTCTTTATTATGATTAAATTAAAAAATTAGTCCCTTAGTTTAGTAATTTAAAATTATTTTGGCCCCTCAACTTTTTAAAAATTATATTTTAGTTGTCAAAGTTAATTTGAAATTCAAAATCAAGTGTGTTATGGTTTAAACTATTTTATTATGTAGTATAATAAGAGTGTTAGGATTTAGATATTTTAGAGTTTAGTATTTAAGGAGTGAGAGTTTAAATATTTGTTGGGTTTAATATTTAGGATGTTAGGGTTTAAATTTTTTATAATTTAGTATTTAGGGTGTTAGGGTTTAATTTCTAGAATTTTAGGGTTCAAGGTTTTAATATTTTATGCTACTATAATGCATGATATCATTGACAAGAAATCTCATCAGAAACTAAGGGAATAACGTTAGTAAAAAGCCTTTCCAACTTAAAACATGTTATTTTATCAAAAAAAAAAAAAAAAACTTAAAACATGTTGGTAAAATGGTTGTTGGTGTAAGTCTCCTTAGTAATTCATTCACTGATGTGACTTAAATTCACGTCGATAAATTACTTAAATTTATTGACAAAGAGCATGTCTTAAACTATTTGACCAAAAAAAGTACAATTAGTTAACTTCTCACATCGATAAATTTATCGACAAGACTAACATTTGTAACATATATATTTAATATTATTTTTGAGAAATTTATTGACAAATCTTTTATCAATATTCTTTCTCAACTACCAAATAAAAAGCTACAATACCACTTACATGGAGTTGGTAGTGAAAAAAAAAAATCATTGTTAGTTACCAACAAAGACCACGTTGGTACAATAAATTTTTTGTAAAAAAATATAGTTTCTTAAATTAATGTTGAGATTTTTTATTTAATTCAATTTATTTACCGTCAATTGTTACTTAATTTATAACTCTTAATATTAAAAAAAATTAAATATAATATTAAAATTACAATAAAAAAAGAAATTATTGAATCTATTTGTTGAAACTAATGATTAAAACATAAATTAAAAATAAGAATAATCAAAAAATATAAAATATAATTAAATAGCATAATCAAAAAAATTAAAAATTACCTCAATTTAAAATTTGATATTTATAGAGCAACATTTCTTAAAAAAAGATCAAATATAAATTAATTTAATATTTACATATATATTCAACCAAATAATAAAAATAATCAAAATATAATTAAAATAAAATTTTAGTTTACATAAATAAAATTTATTTACCCATTGTTTATCTCCCAATAATGTTTCCTACAAAACAACATTAAGAAAAAAAATTAGAATTGTAAATAAATTGATCAATTGTTCAAACTAAAGTTAAAACAATTAGGAATGAAGAATAGAAGAGAAAAAGAAAAGAAATTAAGAAGATATAAACCAAAAATAGTATTAATATAATGTAATTATAAACCAAAAAAAAAAAAAAGAAAATTCAGTAGCATTTTGATACAAGAGGAATGACGAGAGACAAATAAAGGAGGAGAAGAAAGAAGAAGAAGGAAAGAAAAAATGGGTGGGCTACGTAGTTTTTGGGATATATAGAGCATTTTACCTATGAGTTTCTAGTCAAAATGACATTTACCAACATAATTCACATAGGTACAAAGTTTGAGTGGGAGTAGAAAAAATGTAAAAATTTTGGAGTCCCACCTTTTATTTAACGACAAGATTCAAGTTGATCTCTCAAAATTCACCAATCATGTTCATGTTGGAAGTTAAAGTGCAAAATAACAAATCTTAATATCAAATGAACTAATCATAATGTTTGATAGTTAAAATTATAAAAAAAATATATAAAATATACATAAAACACTTAGATTCAACACAAAAATAAATAAAAAATAGTAATATTACTTAAACCTTACTTACCACTGCTTGATGTATAAACTATAAAAAGAAAAAAGTTAGATTTTGCATAACTTGTTCAGTGGAGAAAATGGAAGGAAAGGGAAATGTAGTCGGAAGAGGAAAACAAAAATGGGAGGGGAAGGGGGGTTCGACATAGATGAGGAGGATGGTAAAATGAAAAAGTTGACCACCTCATACAGGATTATGGTGGAAAATAGATCTAATGACAACATTCTTGTTGGTAAAATGTTGCAAATCATCAGAAGGCTGCCTCACAAGTACCATCATCTTGCCCATTGCCTACCCCCCCTCCTCCCCCCAAAAGTACCATCACCTTGCCATCGATGAGAAGGTAATAGAAAAATCAAATTACCAACAAGTTTCTTTTTGGCACATTGAGACATAATCACCGATCACATGCATGTTGCATCATGATTATATTTCAAAGTGAATTTAGGTGAGTTTCGTCGATAAGAGCAAATTTGACTATTATCGTGCAAAATTGTACAAACTCAATATTACTAACAAGATTCACTTTTTTATATTACTAATTTACCAACAAATTACTCATCTAAACTTTAAATAATATAAATCAATATTAATTTTATTGTTTTGCTTAGTACAGACATATTATTAATCAATAAAGTAGTAGTTCACTGATAAACACTTTCATGTCGGTGATATTTTGATCAATGATTTAAGGTTTTCTAGTAGTATTAGAATTTGATATGTATGGTATTAGGGTTTAATATTTATGGAGTTTTTAAGAATTGAGATTTATATTATCAGGTTTTAGTTGTATAAAACCCATTTTATCTCTATATTAGTATAAGATCAATGATCATTTTCTTAAAAAAGTTATATATATATATTTACCAATTAAAATTATTTAACAAAAAATTATTTATAAAAAGGTTTTGGAGTCAATGACAAAAAAAATTTTGGAGTTTGATTGATTTGAGGGGAATAGGTAAAAAAAGAGGTTAAATTTTATGTACCATCAAATTAAGACACTGTTGAATGGGCCATGTGAAGTGAGATTATGGCCACATAATAATTAATTTCCTACAATCATAAAAATTTATTAAAATTGTCGTAAAAAATATTTATTTCATTTGGTTTAGCCGTTAGAAACAACTCATTACTATTAGAATAGCTAATGTTTCTTACGTTTAAATCAATTTATTAAATTTTAGACAATATAACTAACTGTTTAAGAAATATGAGAATTTAAGACATTCTTTTGTGGTGATAACCACACCTCTGAACGTGTTAAATTGTGATTTATTGAAGTTATACTATTCTTGGCAGAGAAACATGCAGGGAACCGGAACCGGAATATGGAGTTGCGAGGAAAAAAGGAAGGATATAGATATCTAAGTTGAGATATGCTACTTTTCTGAAAAACAAAAGGAGAGAAATGTTGTTTGTCACCTGAGGTGGATGCAAGCGGGATTCGATCCCGAGGGACATACACAGTGCAAAATGCTGCATTACTGGTCAACACTTTTATGATTTGATGATGTATATACTACACTCTGGAAAATAATTTATTTGTAAGGGAAATGATGGCGTCTTGATTCATTGGTTAATGAATAGGAGTTAATTCACAATTAGGGGTGGTGAAAGTTGATCCAACCCGTCTGCTCAAACAGAGTACTGGATTGCACTTGGGACTTGTCGTCCAATGGTTCTAAGCCATGTTAAAGTGTATCCTCTCAGTTAAAATGTTAAAATTTGAATCCCCTCACCTTTAATTTAATTCATTCAAAAAAAAAAAAAGAGTAATAGATTAAACTTAAGATAATAATTTTTATATCTTTTAATTTAACATATATCAAATATATTTATTAAAAAATAATTATTTTTAAATTTAAATTCAAGATTAAAAAAAAATTTAACTGTAAAATTTAATAACTAAATCGATAAATGTTGATTAGTATATTGAATCAAATGTACCAATTATTTTTCTTAAACTTACCAATTCGCGGCTCATTTAACCTCTACTCAATTTTGAAGTCCTTTCTCTTGAGTGTCCGAAGAGAAGCAACCTAGCATTCCCTCTCGCCTTTTCTCTCTAAAATTCTGAAAGCTTTGATCATGTACATGAGAACATCCTTTATGAATTCTAAACTTAAACCTCTTTCTCAGTAAGTTGTGGTTTAGTTTGATAAGGGAGTTTGCTTTTCAATTTGTTGATTTATGTTTTATTCTTTTTAAAGGAGAATAAGAGGTTATTTTTATGATTTTTCTAATTTTTATGTAAATGGTTTATCTTTGATTAAATTTCAAACAAATTAGTTTCAAAATATACTTAAATTAGCATGGAGATAGATATAATATAAAAATGTCACAATCAGAGCGGTATTATAGAGACCATATTTTTATATCACATTTTGATACAACTTTCACATATTATTCAATAAGTAAATGCATTCAATATCATGATACTCATATGAATAAAAAAAACTAATCATATAAATAATATGTCAAATTATACAAAAAGATAAGATAAAAAAAATTATCTCAAAATCATTTTCCTTATAATAATCAATAACACTGAACAAGTTAATACATATTGAAGCGATTTAGGCTAAAATCTTTACTATTATAATAACTCTTAGGTCGATGCCCACATAGCCCTAATTTTGCCAGGACATTTCTAATGCAATATCAATATTCATATATATGGCAGAGGAAAAGGGAGTTGAGTAATAAAACAGGAATACCATGTGATCTGAGTAAGGTATAATTAGCCTATCATAAACAAAAGGAGTTTCTGTTAAAACTTTATAAAAAACCCAAAAGTGGAAGAAAGAATATGCTGTTATCCTCAACTATTGCCTTGTTTTGTCAACATAAATTGATGTGTTGGCTAACTTTGAAAATGGTTACTGGTCCTTTCACGTCAGAAACCAGAAAAAAGAACCCCAAAAAATCAGAGAATATAAAGAGAGATTCCAATTAATTCCCACTTTCCCTTGATTTCCTTATGTAAAGCATGTTCATGGGATCTGAGAGAACAATATATTTATTACTTTATAAAAAGCATCCTATGAGTACCCATGTGGGTGACTCTGCAGAAAAAATATCAAGGGAGAAAAGAAATGAATATTCTACTCACTTTGAAATGCAAAAGGGGGATAGGTGACACTGACCCAATGGCTTTCGGACTATCTTAGAGGTGCACTTTGCCCCTTCTCATCGTGGGTTCGAACCCACCA